GGGGGAAAGAGAAGTAACAGAACAGAAAGGGCTAGGTAGGGGTGGAAGGGGAAAGTAGAGGAAGAAATATGGTAAATGATAGCTAGCACTAAAGACTTGAAAACCTACTACTGTAGAAGCTTCCTGAAATATATGCTTATATAGGGTCTAAACAGAGTTAATAATTATTTTTTTAGTGAATAGAAGGCATAAGTTAGCAAAAGGTTAAAGAACCCCATCTTTCCATTTCTTCCTCAATCAATAAATTAATCCACCATTTCACTCTTTCACTTCAGGCTTTGCTCATGCTAGCCCTGATGGGGTTAAGTATTTCCTACTTCTTTCTTTTCATAATGCCCCTGCTGCTTCTATTATCTTTTCCCCTCCATACCTACTCTAATAATAGCCTCACTATTGAGCAGACTGCCTCTCCTTGGCATTCAGGAAGCAGGCTCCGTGCATATGGTCAATTGATTCGTTTTTAATGCACCTATTATTATGAATTGCCTTCTGGCTCGAACTGAAACCAAACTATGCCCAGTATCTTTTCTCTTCCATACTTCCACTTTGGCCATCAGAAGGTGTCAACATTCAAATTCATTTCCCAGTAATATAGGTTCCCATCAATACCCTTCTTGATTATGGACAATAAAACCAAAGTCTTCTCTGCCTTTGGATGTTTCGTTGTTGTTGTTACTGACACTACTAAAGAACCCAAGCTCCTTTTCACAATCGATCCTATTTGGCTATTAGATCCAAGGTAGTGCGGCATCATCAGAACTCTTAGAGCCTTAAGTTATTCTTACAAAGATGAATACGGAAGAGTGAAGGAGGGAAAGACAAGGCACTTGCCTTCTTGAGAATAATCTCAATGTACCATCCGCTCTCAGGTACTTAGTACGATGACTTGGACACGGGGCACAGGGATGATATGAAAGGCCCACTGAGTTCTATTTTAGCCAGAAAAACTCTGTTGGAGAATAAAAAAAACTTAAGGCAAAGGGGTGTTTTTGACCAAAATAGAAAGCTTGAGCAACAGAAAGGTTTCTCGGGAGCTATTTAGTCCAGGGATCCAAAACATCCATCTCCATGCCCATGACAGTCTGACATTCTGTACCTACTGGTGCACAGAACAAAAATGCTATCAACTGACTTCTTTTAAGACTTTTCTCATTAAAGACTATGCTTTTTGTACATTGCTATATTCTGATGCTAAAATATCATTTCATTAATGTCATACTAGTGATGATATGTGTTTCCATGTGACATTAAAAGTTGGCATTATGTTGGGGACTTAGACATTAGAGAGAATTTTACTAGTCTTTACGATCTAAATGTTGGGGGACCATTGTTTTGGTTCTGTGGTTTCTGTACTTGACAGTATTACTAGAAGCCTTGGTAAAACCATCTATTTGTAAGCTCCACGTCTAGATATTATGTTCAGAAGCTATTGACTGCAGGGGACCTAGAAGTCAATATTTTACAAAGCCTTCTAAGTGATTCTAATGTAGCTCTGACTTAGGAAAACACCACTCTGTTTTTTCCTCTCTTAAAGGAATGAAAGGCATAACTGTTTGGAATGATTCCATTGTGGGCTTGAATCTGTTAAGAACAGAAGGGAAACGTGTTGTCTCACTTGGAATAACACTGAAAACCTTCCCTTAGGCTTTTCCATGGTCCATAGCTAGACAAGTCAATAAAGAGCTCCAAGGGCTATTGGCTACTTACTCATGAACCTGGGCAAAAGAGATGATTCTACAAATAGTAAATATTCATTGAAGATCTGTTAGCCTGATGTTTGTTAGTCAGGTCTGATTTAGAGATTTGCAGGAAAAAGCACATGCATTTGATGCTTGTTTTCTATACCTCTAACCAATCCAAACCACTTTATAGACATACTATCACCACAGTTTTCTCTCAGAATTGCACCTGTGGTGTTACTCACGGACTCAAAAATCTTCACTGCCATTCTTGGGTTAACTTTCTGTTATGCATGGGGAATATTCAAGGATCATCAACTCTTAAGGAAGGAAGGGTTCCTGCAGCCCAAAGTTTCTGAGATTTTACTTCATAGTCATGAGATCCCACTGCCTTTGGCCTGTGTCATTATAGTAGATCCTAGAATAAGCACATGGCAGAAAAGATGTTTACAGAAGCCAGAAAGCAAAAAGACAAGGAGAAGTCACAGTCCCAATATCCACCTCAAGGGCATGCTCCCAATGACTTAAATAGTGCCACAAGCTGGCAACCAGGTCTTTAGCATACTTGCTTTTAGAGGATACTAATCATAGCACTTACATATCCCAAGTAAAATCTATAATTCCCAGGATGACGTTTACTAATTCTGTAGAGTAGATAGAACTTCATATTGAAGATAAAGAAACAAATTGTTTAAGGTCACACATGCTGGAATAGTACAACCATCATTAGAATCCAGGTCTCCACATACCAGTGCTCAGGCCGTTAAAAAAATACCTGTGCCTTCTAAAGAGGGGAGGACTGCTTTGCACCTCATGTATTGCTAGAATGATAGGTTACATAACCCTGTCTCCTGGGTGGGGCACATACTTTGAAATCACACAAATGGGCAAAGATACCTGTTCTACCTCTTACTGGCTTTGTAAACTTAACTGACTTAACCTCTTGGGCCCTGTTTCCTCATTGCTGTGAATATTATATGAGATCATGTATGTAAAGGGCCTAGCATGGTGCTAGGCTTACAGGAGATTCTCGGTGAGTGTCACCACCTCCTCCACCCACCACATTCTATTGTAGTAACCTGAAGAAGCCATTAAAACTAAAAGGGACAGAATTTAGACACCGGGAATGGAGATGAGGGGCAGAAGTCTAGGTTTTACTCCGTCCTGGGATTGGAAACTCCTTTCAGGGTCTCAATCAGGTTCTTTCCAAGTGGATCCCAAGTCTAGATCTCTCCTGGGGGAGCAGCTGGCAATGTGAGTGGTAAGCCCTCCCTGGCTGTAAAGCAGACCTTAAGACTCAGTGCTCAGCATGTCTATCATTTCTCATTCTTCATGGCTGAAGCCTTGTGGGGTTTTATTAAAATGCAAGTGTTCCCTGGGAGAAGCATCACACATATTAACTTTTTGGCCTGATTAACTTTCACTTTCCTCTCTCTATGAGTAGATTCTGTGTCCCTGTACCTTGGGGTCAGGGCATGCTCTAAGGAAACCACCTCCATGCCACTTGTTAAAAATCCCACTGAATGAATGTTCAAGGCCCATGTCGTACATAGCCTTCCCCCAGAACCCTTCAATAGTTTGGTTAGCTCATTTCTCTTCCCCATCCCAGCAACAAGTTCTAGATCCCTGTGCTGAATCATAGGGAACCCCTGACTTTTCTATGTGAAGACTCACTTTAAATCTTACCTTGTATTTGCCTTGCCCCATGACCTTAGGGCAATAAATGACTGACCTTAGTTTTGCTTCAGTTTGGAGGCCACAAGAAGCATGTAATAATATTTGCTACCCGTCAATAGGGGACCTGGTTTACTCATTTGCGAAACGATATTCCGCAGGCTGGCATGACCCCGTGATCTGTGAGTTTGGTTGATTCCTTCATGGAACCACAAGCCACAGGACATCTCTATCCTGACACCCAATTGCGCCTCTCTCGTGTGCTTAAAGACTGCATTCATTAGCATCAGACGAAGCCCCGGAGCCCTGAGCTGCGTTTCCACCTGATAGACAGTTTTTCATCTAGCAGAAAGGTTAATCAGATGCAAGGTAAAAAGGGATTGGCGTTCACCTCTTGCTAGTGCAAGTGAACACCCTTAGAAAAAGCAGAGTTGCTTGGAATTACCGCGTGGATGAGAGTTGAGCTGGGTACCACTGCTCATCAGCAAGACAGAGTCCCCTTTCCCTTTTTTAGGACTCAGGCACTCCCTTGAGAACAAACCCTCCCTTCCAAGGTAGGGCTGAGGTCTGAGTCTTGGACATTAAGTGGGACTCTGAGGTTTGTGCCTGAAGTGTGGTGGGAAAGGGAACTGGGTGGTTAGCAGACATCCCTTTGCATTGGGGGCTTTTCAGAGTACAAGGCACTCGAAAAGCGAAAAGCGGAGGTCCAGGCCCCCTGAACGGGATGTCAGGGGCCGAAAAGCCCTTGACCAAACTAGCAGCTCCATCTGGACCTCATTTCTTGCTCCTGAGTATGGAACAGAGAGCCAAGAGGAACCTGAACTGAGCTCTGTGTCCTGCAGGGGGCCTGAGCTGGGCCCCCTCGGGTGCCACTGTACTTCCCTCCTTTCCTGGCCCGGCCCCTGGCCCAGAGTCTGCCCTGGCCAAGCCTAGACCCGGCCCTCTGTGGCTCCTCTGGGCTCCAGGTTGGCGCAAACAAAGCCCTGATTGACTGCCCGGAGGGGCGGGCCTCGCTGCGGGGCCGCCTCCTCCCCTCAGTCCCGCCAGGGATTTGCAGGGAAGCGCGGGGGTAGGGGGCCCGACTCTGAGGGGTGCGCAGGTCAGTGGAGTGTCTGAGTTCCAGGCTTGAGAAGATTATGTGCACCCTCTGTCCTAAGTCCAGGCTGTACCCTCTAGGTCACCCGTCTCGAGTCCAAGTGGGAACACAAGGACTCCCGAGGACAGGGTGGGGTCTGTCACTAACTAGCTCTTGTCTTGGGGTTCCCAGGACCAGTCTAGTTGCAGGTTGCTTGTAAGCAAGGAGGACGTGAACTCGAAGAACAGACAGGGTCTTTCTTTTGAGGCTGGAGCTTGATCAATGTGGGTTCTGGGACCTGCGGGGAGAAGAGGGCAAGGTTGTTTCTGCTCTTTTTGCTAATTTAACTCTTCTTCTAAGCATCTAAACAAGAATAGGATTCAGTAATTTGAAAGAGGAGTTTGGGGGTGGCAGCAGCGCCTAGAGTAGGTAGGCGAGTAAGAAGAGGAGGAAGGGCCGGGAGAAGAGCGAGGTTGTAGCGGCTGCCTGTTGAGGAAGAGGTGGGAGGGAGGAGGAGGGGGAGGAGAAAGAGATGACGTGGGGAGAGGAGGAGGGGGGTTGGACGGGGGAGGAGAAGGAGAGGGCTCGAGGGACCGTCTGTCGCGGGACGGGCTGGCCAGCTTAGGCGCTGGGAGGAGGAGGAGGTAGGGGCTGAGGCAGCGGCGGCAGCAGTGCTCGGAGCGGCAGCAGCAGCAGTAGCGGCAGAAACAAGTACCAGACAGACAACAGCTTCTCCGGCTCCAGCAAGCCACAGTCAGTCCCCTGGCCGCGATGGCGCTGCCAAGCCCGGCGAGCGAGGAAGCTGAGGGGCCCTGTCAGGAGGCAAACCAGGAATATCAGGAGCCGGTGTGTAGTCCGGTGCCCGAGCCGGAGCCCGAGCCTGAGCCTCAGCCCCTACCCGATCCTGCACCCCTGCCTGAGCTGGGGTTTGAGGCTGAGCCCGTGCAAGAACCGGAGCCCACGCCCACAGTGGAGACCCGAGGCACTGCGCGTGGCTTCCAGCCTCCCGAAGGTGGCTTCGGCTGGATAGTGGTGTTTGCAGCCACCTGGTGCAACGGCTCCATCTTCGGCATCCATAACTCTGTTGGGATCCTCTACTCCATGCTACTAGAAGAGGAAAAAGAGAAAAATCGCCAAGTGGAGTTCCAAGCAGGTGAGTGGTCCCACGTGCCCCACCTGGCATTGTGGGAAAGGATGTCTGCCCCCATCGTCACCCCCATACCTCTTGGTCTAAGGCGCCCTTTCAAAGCGCCTTTCTTACTCCTTACCCATGTCCTGCTAGGGCATGAATTGCAGGGCTCTGGGCAGCCTGGGCAGTGGAGGGTTCAAGCAGTACCAAGGGTGAGAGCTGGGGCATTCATTGGTTACAGGCAAAGTAATGAACTTTTTGCCCTGGGACAAATCCAGACTCACCTTTTAGATTGTTTAAAGTACTTTGCCCATGTGTGCTGGGGAAAATATTTGCAGGATTTGGGGGCGGAGGTGGGGAGCGAAGTCGTGTAGACACTAGAGAGTAAGAAGATTGAAGGATTCCAAGAGAAGCACGGAACAGCGGGTCTCTGCAGCAGCCCCTGTTCCTTCCGGGGACCAGAGCGGGTTTTCTGTGAAAACCACTTCAGGAATCCTGATGACTCTTCGCTCAGAGTCAAACACATGGTAGGCGTGTGTGTCTGCAGAAGAGAAAGGGAGGAGTGCGAGGAGGAGGGGGGGCGTGTGCGCGCGTCTCTGCCTGCTGTGGGTATGGCCCAGCCAGGCCAGGCGGTCGCCTGCTGTTCCCAGGCAGCAAGCGGCTCGCTGTTCACTGGAAGTCGAGCCCCAAAAGAGGCAGGGAGGCGGCAGGAAGAATGGGTCTTGAGACTCTCTCCACACCTCAGCTGCGCGGTCTCTGGTGCCCCAGCACCTCTGTTATCCGATGGGGGCCTCTTTCCTTCCAAAGTTAGAATGATTTTTGGCCCCGCCACTCCAGTTTTGGCTTGGGAATGACTTGGTCATCCCTAAGATTGGGCAGGGTTGGAGACAGAGCCCTCGCTTTCCAGGCACTTGGGTATGGGACCCTGTGTGTGCAGACTCCTTAGCAGGACCCTTCAGCAATCTAGGGAAACAGACTCATTCGCTCTGCAGAAGCCCCTCGGCCATTGTGATGAGAGTGTTTCTGGAGCTGGCTGGGGGCTTGCCATACCCTTTCATGAAAATCCGTCCCTCTCTTTGGGCTGTCAGGACAGCCAGAAGTGCCCTCACCACCTCCTCAAGTTCCTTACTTGGAAAAAAAAAAGTCGAAAACACAGTGTTCTCCTGGAGCTGCGAGGGTCCTCTCTTGCCAACCTCAAAAAGAGGGGACTTGAGGATTATCAAGTGAAATAGAAACCTTGAATTCCGGGATGCCCACTTGAGGGTTGCTTTTAGCCACGCCTCAGCCTTCAGTTGAGGCCATGTATTGTTTGCAGCTTTGCTAGACTGTCTGGCAGAAGGGGCTTTGGGACTCTTGTGCCTCAGACCTTGTGACCCATTGGCACAGCTGCAGTGTACACGCCCCACTTGAGGAGATCTCGAGTGTGCTCAGCGACTATAAATGGCAGTCTGACAACAGCCTAGGCAATTCCATAGCGGAGTGGAGGGGTCCCCGGATTCCATGGAACAACTCCTGCTTGGAAGGCTGTGTCTACACTCCCTGGGACCACCTTTGTCCTGCGTTGATGCAGATCAGGGGCTCTTGGGAAAGCAGCCAAGTTAGGCCCACAGGCTGTTGCCTAGGTTACTGGGGGGGGGGGGCACCTGCTGAGAGTTGCCTTGTGGTTGAAGGCAGGCTAGTGGCCTTCAGGGTCAGTGGCAAAGTTTAGGCGAAACTTAAAGGGAAGCAGTGGAGGCTGAGCTGAAGTTAAGCCCCTGCATTTATGTGATGTGACCTAGAGCTGGGGCCTTAGGAATACGCAATAAAACTTGGAAAACCCACTATTTTACCAGGAAGAGGTTCTCTGCTGCGGAACAGACTTCAAAGTAGGTGATCATAGGAGACTCAGGGGGAGGGCTGCTAGGGACTTTCCGGTCAATACCTCACAGTGCAGCTGGAGGGGGTGGTGGTTCTGTGGTCTTCCCAGAGGTGTGGCTAGCGTGTATGCTAACACAGACTAGGTCCTCTGAGGAGCTGGAGTTATTGGTTTAAACTATAGAGAGTATAGGTCAGGAAGAGACAGAAAGGAATTTGGTATATCCCAAGGGTCTGAGAATACTTTGGCGTGGGTCCTTGCTGTCATATATTGTGATTTCACTGAGGTTCTTTTTGATACTGGGCCTCTCAGGAAAGCCTCGGTTTTTATTTTGGAAGTCAGTAACACCCTACTACATTCTGTATTTTACAAGTGCTAGGATTATAGGCAAGTGCCACCATGTCTGTCCCAAGCCACTGTTTAAACCTTGAGATTCCAATTGTCTTTGCCTTTATACACTTTCTTCAGTCTTTCAAAATTCCCTGGCCACCTATGTCACTCACAGCCCTGGTGTTTCAAATAAATAGGGAAAGCTTAATATTTTGCTACTATCTTTATCAGCAATTATTTGCCCAATAACCAATTGGGGGGGGGCACTTAAGGAAATTGGTGCATTGTCCGGTTCTACAATTGGAGGTATTCTGCAGTCCAAACTGTTTTTGCTTAGGCCTGACACTGACTTCGCCATGAAGCTGTGTTGAATGGCTTAATGGGTCCAAGGTTCTGCAGTGCTGAAAGTCCCAGAAAAAGGTAATTTTGATGTCTGATAGAAAATTCCAAACACGGGTTCTCTGGGCACAGGCCAATGAATCGGTAGAAAGAAAATGGAATTTAGGTTGTCCTAGAGCAGGTAATATACAATCTTTGTGGATTCTGTGGTTTTGAGGTTCTGGTGTGCCTCCAGCTATATATTTTGTGTATTGCTTCAGCTCATTTAAGGGAAGCCAGCTCTCCCTAGGACCTAGGCCTGGGATTCTGGCAGATAAAGGGTTCCTGGAATCTACTAATGAGTGAGTACATACCATATTCATATTTTTGGGTCTGGGTTATCTCACTCAGGATATTGTTTTCTACTTCCAACCATTTGCATGCAAAATTCAAGATGTCATTGTTTTTTTACCACTGAGTAATACTCTAATGTGTATATGTGCCACACCTTCTTTATCCATTCTTCCATTGAGGGGCATCTAGGTTGGTTCCAAGTTCTGGCTATTAAAAATAATGAACATAATTGAACAAATGCTTTTGTAGTATGGTTGAGCACCTTGTGGGTATATTACCAAGAGTGGTATTGCTGGATCCTGAAGTAGGTTGACTCCCAATTTTCTGAGAAACTGCCACATTGATTTCCAAAGTGGTTGCACAAGTTTGCATTCCCACCAGCAATGGATGAGTGTTCCCCTTACTCCACATCCTCTCCAGCACAAGCTATCACTGGTGTTTTTATGGCACTGGGATCTGTCTCTACTACATGTATTAACTTTTTGGGATCCTTTTTTTTTGGATGCAAACCTTCCTAAGCCTGGATGTAGCGGGGAGGGCCTTGGACTTCCTACAGGGTAGGGTGCCTTGCCCTCTCTTAGGACTGGAAGGGGTGAGGGTGAGGGTGTGAGGGAGAGTGGGAGGAAAGTGGGAGGAGGGGAGGAAGTGGGAATTTTGATTGATAATATTTATAAAGTAATTTTTAAAAAGAGGGGGAAAGGGTTCCTGGGAGCATTACAAATAACCAAGATTGGTTTAGGGGTAAAAAGGGAAAAAGATCAAGAGAGACAGGAGCATGGGCTTTTGTAGAAGTAATGGAAACTAGGGCTTTCTCCTGCCCAGAAAATGCATCAGATAGGCCAGGAAGTAGCCAGACATTTGGGGTGGAATATATAGAGCAAACATGGTTTCTTGTGACAATAGCTGAGTTTTATGATGAGAAAGAAAAGAGATTATTGGTTCCTAGTCCCAACTCACTCTTGAAATCCTAAGTAGAGACAAGGTTGGGGTTTAAGTTCAACAGATAAGGCAGAATTATCCAGAGTTGCTCACTGAAGTCAAACTGAAGTCTGTTTTAAAGTGCTTCAGAGTAGCCCAGACCTTGCCCTTTCAACCTTGACTTCCAGTCTACCACAAAGATATGCATGATGAGAAACACTTTTATTGGAGAGTTTATAAGCATAGTCCTTGAAAATTTCTGTGAGAGGCAAGGGCCAGGGCTCTCACTACTAAAGAAGGTGGCAATAGTAAGGAAGGTTCACTACTGGTACAAGTTGGTTTGGGTTGGTGGTCTACCCTGACGGAGACAGAACTTTCTAGGCATAAGAAAGATTAGTCTACTATGGAAACTAGGGATTTCTCCTACCCAGAAAATGCACCAGATAGGACAGTGGTTCCGAATCCCCCAAACGAGTGGGGACTGAGGCCGAGCAGGCTGTCATTCTCCTCATTGTAGGGTTTCTAACTCCTTCCTTCAGTGTCTCACTGGGTTTCCTGGGAAGTAGTTAACTTTGAGATTAAGGTATCTTTTAAATAAATCTGTCAATCTTCTGATTTTGCGTGAAGATTTGTGCCTACTGTCCAGAAGAACGAGATCCTGTTGGCTCAGCAATGACCATGGTGCTTTAGGCCACAGGTCCATTGGCTAGACGTCTTTCAAATCCTTCCTCTGCCTCCTCCCCAAACAACGTAGTTCCCAATTTGTGACTTTGATTCATGCTGTGAAGAATGAAGATGAGAGGCTAGGACACTGGAAAACCGAACAAGAAAATGCTCGTTGGAGCTGCTAGCTGAGCGAATCCAGAGCCTTGGTTCACTGTCCAGTGGCCTCAAGTGATCATTGTAAACAACTTCTCCTTCTCCTACTCTTCTCCTCTCCTCTCCTCTCCTCTCCTCCTCCTAGTGGTGTTGGGGAGCGAAACTTATTCTAAGTCTAAAAAAAGCAATACCTCAAGCCAAATCTGAACCCCCTCAAAGCTGGGGTTCCCAATGATAGCAGTGGCAATAACTAGGAGTTACACAATCTGTGTTCCCAGCCTGCTCGGTAATTGAGTTATCTATGTATAAAACGAGAAAAGTCAGCTATGTGAACTTTGTAACCCCAAATTATATCCTTCTAGAATTATGGGATGGCTTATGCTTTACTATTCACCTAGCATATGTTTTGACACATTCAGGCAGACAGAAC